CCCTGGCCTGCAGCGACGCATGCCGACTCGCCCAGTCACGACGCGGCGCCTCTTCGCGAGGCGTTGGCGGCGAAGGATAAGGCGAAGGCCGAGGCGCGCGCGAAGGCCAGCGGTGCGACCGCGGCCGACGCGCCCACTCCCAAAGCGGGGCCTGCGCAGCGCCCTGGCCAGCAGGTGAGCGCGTCGGAGAGCGAAGATGCCTCGGACGAGGGTTCGACGTGATGTCTGAGGCGGCGACCTTTCGGACGGCGCCGACACTGCCCACGGGGTCAGTGACGCCTGCCGAGGGCGCCGACGGAGGCAGCGGTACGGGGGCCGCCCCCAGTGCCGCTGCCTCCGAAGGTGCCTCGGACGGAGGCCCCACGGCGGCGGCCGAGGCGCCTGCTGAGGCCTCCGCGATGCCCACGTCGGCGGTGGTGCCAGTGACGAGGGCTGCCCTGGCAGCGGCAGCCACCTACTCCAACTTCAACACGGAGCAGCGCCGCGGGTTGGGCGCGATCACCCTCGCGCTCCACGACCTCCAGCTGCGGGGGCAGGCCGTGAGCGGCCGCGGTGGCCGAGGTGCGCGCAGCGACGCCGATGGCGGCCGCTCCGTGGACGATGAGACCGCCAGTGAGGCCCCGAGTGCAGCGACCACGGGCGCCCTCAGCGGCCATGGAGGCAAACGCCACCGCCGACGCAGCAACAAGGCCGCCTACGGCCAAGCCCCCCCGCCGAGCGGCGGCACACCTGCCGCGCTCGAGGACGCCGAGATGATGGCGGACGAGGACTACGCCGAGGCGGGCCACGTCCACTGCATGGGTGTGTACTGGGCCCCGCCGCAGCGCCTGGGCTGGTGTCGGGTGTGCTCAGAGCGCTGGGCGACTGGAAGATCATGATGGTGGAGTACGTGGACGAGCTCAGTTGTGGTGGGATGCGCCGCTACGCCGAGGCTTCAGAGCGCAACCCGCAATGCCCCGTGCTGCGGAAGGGTGCTCAGGGCCAATACAAGCTATACACGTGCTCGCGCTGCGTGGCGGCGACGCAGAACATCACCGAGCACGAGGCCGTGACGCGCGCAGCGCGCCTGAACAATGTTGCTGGCTCCATCGACCACACCGCCAAGCGAGTGGCGAAGTTCCGCGCGAGTTTCGACCACATCAAGGAGGGCATGGACGTGCTGGTGGGGTTCGCGCTCTCCGACGACGGCCTGCTGGCCCTGCGGAGGTCAACGGGGGGCGTCGGGGTGGGCATCGATCCCGAGAGCGCGGGCGCCCCCCCAGCCACGGAAACGGTGGCGGAGGAGGTTGGTCGCCCGATGGCGGTGGAGGTGGTGCCGGGGCCGCCCCGCGCGCCACCTCCACCCCTCGAGGATGAACCTGGCCCCGCAGACCCTGCACGTGGCGAGGAGAACGACCCCCCGCCCGACAACGATGCTGAGGACCAGGAGCACCAGCTGACCAACGTCAAGACCGTGGAGGAGGTCACGGACATCGAGCCCCTGCTGCGGCTCGGGCTCTCCAAGAAATCACTGAAGCGTACGGCGCGGGCCTATGGCATCCTCAAATTCGAGACCATGCGCACCCACATGCTGGGAGGCCTGGGGCCCATCCTGGAGAAGAAGGAGGACATGGTGAGGGGCGCAGAGGCGCAGGACGGGGTCTAGAAGTGGCCCGACGCGCTGAATGAGGAGGCAGAGGATGATGTGGGAAGGCTGAAGAAGGGCCTCCTGGAAGCTTCGGAGGTCGCGGACGCGCACCTGGGACACAAACGTGCCTGGAAGGAGGAGTGCCAGGGAAACGCCATGGCGCAGGAGGCCTACCGACGCATGGGCGACTACACGGATCAGTTCTACCGTGGCAAGGGTTCCACGTTCAACATGTACTTCAAGTGCTCGGCCAACAAGACCTGGGACAATCCCGGGGGATGCTGCTCGGTGATCCGCTCGGATCGCTGGACGCAACTGCTCACCTGCGCGCAGGAGGCGGCGGGGGAGACAGGCCAGCGCTGGTACTGCCACTGTGGGGCGCGCTACGCGACCTCCTACGGCGTCTGCGTCGAGTTGATAGAGGAAGAGCAGAACCCGCCGCGTGCGTATTACATGCACGCGGAACACCCCGAGGAGGACATCCGCGACTTGAAGGCCCTGCTGCGTTACGGCAAGCTCAAGAAGGAGGGGGTAGCGGTGATCAGCGCTGTGGACCTCCTGAAGCACCTGCCCAAGGTCGAGCCGCTGGCGGTGGGCACCGTCTTCAAGCGCTACGCTCCAGAGCAGCCGCAGTGGGAGGGCCACTATACGCTGATGGATGGGCTCTCCTGGGAGAGCCTGACCGAGTTCAAGTGGGCCGACCTGCGCGCGCAGGTCGCCTGGGGTCTGAACGATCCAGAGTGGGCGGGCTGCACCAAGAAGCAGCGGAATAGGGCCAAGAGGGAGCGCCTGGCGACCGCGTACAACGAGCTGGCGCTCTACGAGCGCCGCCACAACCTTCGGGAGGGCAGCCTCACGGGCGGCGGGGGTGGCACCGGGGCCGCCCCGCGTGCCACCCCCGCCCGCACCGCCAGCGCCCCTCCAGCGGGCGTGGCCCGCGGTAGCCAGGGCCCGCCGCCGCCGCCTGCTGGGGCCCCGCCAGCGGCCATCATGGCCCCGCCACCGCCGCCGCCGACGGCGCCCCCTGCGGCGCCGCCGCCGCCAACGGACCCGCCGCCGCCGACGGGCCCGCTCCCGCAGCAGATCCCTAATGTTGCCGCCCTGAATGTGGCCCTCGGCGAAGATCTCGAGCGCCAGATCTTTGGGCCCTCAGGGCAGGCGGGCGGCAGGGGCGACCTCGGGGGAGAAGTGCAAGCGCTGCCGTCGCAGGTCTTTGCAGCCATCGCGCACGGAGCAGGCCAGTCCGCCTGAATGATGAAACCCAGTGGGCCCGCAGCATTGAATACTTATAAGCCCTCGGGGAGGCCAAGGGGGTCCATGTAAAGATCCCAAGCCAGCCACTCTCAAAGATGCTGAACCTGTAGGTTTGCTTACGCCCCAGCTTTAGTAACGCCGCCTGGCCAGCGAGTGCGGGCATGCCCACAGTGGTGCCCCCCTTGCGCCGCGGCTCCTGTCGCTTAAGCCTCCGCTCTTCGCACGGGCAACTGCGCGCCTAGCCATTCTGGCTTGCCATCCTGGCCTCCTCTCACGCCCACTTGCGCTCGCGGGCCTCGCTGGCGGTGCTGGGGCCGCCCCGCGTGCTGCCGCGACGCCGCTGGGCGCCTAGCCATTTTGGCTTGCCATCCTGGCCTCTTCTCGCGCCTACTCGCGCTAGTTGGCCTCGGTGGCGGTACTGGGGTCGCCCCGTGTGCTGCTGCGCCGCCGCTGTCGCTTCACTTGGGGCCGTAGGGACCAGCTGCCCTCGGATAAGCGCCCGCCGCTGCATGCACGTCAGACCCGCCTTTCACCCAGAAGAGGTGCTCGCTACATACTGGAAATGAGGCAGCCACAAGGACGCTCTCCCCAAGGCGGTTGAGCCGTGGTGATGTGGTGCACGAGACCGCCAGTAGTAGTAGTAGTAGTAGTAGTAGTAGTAGTAGTAGTAGTAGTAGTAGTAGTAGTAGTAGTAGTAGTAGTAGTAGTAGTAGTAGTAGTAGTAGTAGTCGTAGTAGTAGTAGTAGTAGTAGTAGTAGTAGTAGTAGTAGTAGTAGTAGTAGTAGTAGTAGTAGTAGTAGTAGTAGTATCAGTCGTAGTATTTGGAGGAGGAGGGGGAGGAGGTGCAGGAGGAGGAGGAGGAGAAAGGGGGGGAGGAGGAGGAGGAGGAGGAGGGCGAGGTGAAGGAGGGGGAGGCGTCTTCTTACTTTTTGTGTGTTTCTGCCTCCCCGGTGGATTTTGTTATTTGAGGGGCAGAGGGCAAGGCGGCACCGCGGCGCTACCATAACATGCCCTCGACCGTAAGGATGTAGGGTGGAGAAGGAGAAAAGAGGGAGGGGAGCACCCGTGCGAGCGGAAATCCGACTCTGGTGAGTTTGCCCGAAGGCGCTTCACGGCGCATCGGCAGTTGAAGCCGAAGCCAAAGCTGAATTGCACAGAGAAATGTAATGGGCCCACCCAGCAGGTTTGGTTGATAGCGGAGAAGGAGAAGGCGAGGAGGAGCTGGATACGACGGTGCATGAGGGAGGCGGGGGAAGATGGGCAGCAGGAGGAGGAGGAGGAGGAGCAGGAACACAACGAGATGGAGGATGGAGGAGGAGGAGGAGGTGGGAGGTCGAGGAACTGTTGGGGAAGGCCGAAAAGGATGACAGGGAAGGACTGAATGGAAGATCTGGATGGGTGGAGGAGGAGGAGGAGGAGAAGGATGAGGAGGAGGAGGAGGGGCAGGAGGAGGAGGAAGAGGAGGTTGAGGAGGGTAACGAGGCGGAGGAAGAGGAGGAGGAAGAGGATGATGAAGATGAGCAGGCGGAAGTGCACACGGAATGGAGAGGCGGACTAGTAAGTGAGTGTGTGTAGCTGTAGATGCCCAGTTTCACGCTATGTCGGCGATCCGTGCAGCAATCGAGACGAAGCTCTTGTGCACAGGGCTCAGCCCCCAGGTGTCGATGTCTGCGTCGGGGTAATGCATACGGCGTTTGAGGCTGCTGGAGGCTATATACGTACATTCGCAAAAGGCCAGTTCAATGAAAATGTGGTCGGCGATAGAACGCCCGTGAACCAAGCGCGCGCGAATGGCACGCGGTTCGGAGCGAAAGTACACCGAGCACATACAAAGATGTGAGAGCAAACCGCGACTGTTGCCACAACCTCGAGCCGAACCTGGTAATCCGCTGGTTGGCGGGAGCCGATACCAAATCTTTCCCATGACCAGATCAGATCGATCTGTTCACCCTCTGGCTGCTCATCCTGTCATTGAACTGAGAGAACCATGCTTAAACGAGTATAACTTTTGCCTTCGCTCGTGGTGCAGACACTGCGTCGTTGCCCGACTTTCCAAAGATGGTGGTTCACTCGCCCTCCTCCCCTCTCTGCTGCTGGGGCGTTGGGCAATGAATCTGAGGTCGCCAGACCCGCACGAGTGCGCAGAGTCGGGCAGCGACTGCACTGGCGCGAAGTGCTGCAAGGACCCTGGGAGGGAGCAGCGTGACGGTGCGGGGAAAGTCTCTCCCTCCTCGCCGGTGCCTCCCATGACCCTCAAGGAGCCAAGCAAAGCACCTCAAAACGAATTAAGGATTCGCTGATTGTCTGAAGCCCTCTCCCCACCTCCACCTCCACCTCCTCCTCGTCCTCCTCCTACTCCCTCCTCCTCCCTCCTCCTCCCAGAAGCGCGGTGTGACCAGGATTTCAACGCGAACCCAGCCGTGGCGACGAGGAGGGCCCCTCGGAATCTCAACCGGGCCCCCAATCCCCCCCCCCGCCCGAACGGGCTCCCGAAGGGCCGTGTGCCTGGAGCAGCCGACCCCTAGCTGGGAGAACGGACGTTCTCTTCGTCGCGGTCCTCGCCCTCGGCTCGTCGTCGTCGCGGTCCCCTGCCTCGTCCCTAGCTGGGAGAATGGACGTCGCGCCTCATCGTCGTCGTCGTCGTCCCTGCGTCGCGCCCTCGGCTCGTCGTCGTCGCGGTCCCTAGCTGGGAGAATGGACGTTCTCGTCGTCGCGGTTCCCTGCGCGATCCACCTCGGGCGAGGTCTGCGGCGGGTCCTTGACTTACCCCCGCTCTGGCCGCGCCGTGCTTCACCTCGAGACGCTGCCTCTCCACCTCGTGTCCTCGTGTCCCCCAGGCGCAGCAGAAGATCGCTGCAAGCGCCTCCTCCTCCTCCTCCTCCTCCTCCTCCTCCTCCTGGGGTCGCGATCTCCGGGGGCCCACGCAGGGCCGATGTCGATCCTGCCGGCACGACTCGATACCGACTCCGTCCAGCCCGATGGCCTGATGCTTGCATGGCCTCCTCCCCCCTTTGAGGGACGGAGACTAGCTCCCTGGTCGCAATGCCGTCCAAGGAGCTGGTGTTTTTGCGCCAAACGTGCGTCTGCTGAGGGGTCTCCCCCTCAGCGGTACCAAAACCCTCACCTCTGGGTCGCCTCCCCAGTGGTGTTGAAACTCTCAGGGGTTGAAAAGAGAGAGAACAAAAAAAAAAAAAAAAAAAACTGCTGCTTGCATGGCGCGGTTGTGCATCCTTGCGCAGCTGATCCGGCCCGATCTGGGCTCCTCCTCGGTGCAGCTTGATCCGAGGCAAATTTCAGTTCGAGCCGATGTGCCGAGTCCATGCTTCCATGCTGACGGATCCTGCCACGCTGTGTCGGGCGGGTGGTAATGGGGGGTGGCCTCACTGGGGAGTGAAGACAGGGCCCTTGTATGGCCCCTTCCCTCACTCCCATTCAGGTCACCCCCTAATATTCGGCCAAAAAGAAAAAACTACACCACCCCACCTCCAGCCTTCCATGCTGCGCTACAGCCCATCGTGGGCCGTAGCGTACACCACGCAACAGCCCACGCCCCAGATTTCCTGGCATTTATGCTGAGCCCCGTGGGGCCGTAGGTGGGGTGGTGTCACTATCTCTGGTCCATTACCACCCGCTCGAGACGCGCTGTGAGAAACGCAAGACGTCCGAGGTCTGCGGCCTTCCCCTGCCCCGCCGTGGCTCAGACCTGGCGTTCTGCGGTTCGGTCGCAGTAGGCATCGCACGTTGTGTGTTGCACCGCTCGTGCTCGCCTCGGCTTGCTCTGTCGGCCGCTAACCGCGAAGGGGCGGACGAATCGAAAGACAACACTCAGGCAGAATCAGGTTGAGGAGAAATCGCTCCATAGCGTTCCGGAGCTTTGGAACACCCTCGGAGCGTCCCAGAACGCTCTGGGACAGCATCGGACCCGGAGGGATGATCGGCATCTTCATCCGGAGTTGTCCTCATCCTTGCATTGGTCTTGAATGCACGTGCGTGTCACTCGTAACCAAAGCCCCGAACTTAAGCGCAGGGACCTTCACAACAAAACCTGATGTTAGGGAGGAATGGACGCATTAGCACCAAGCTTGAGAGCGCTTGGGGGCCACAGGCGTGATCCAAGCTTACTGGCGACTGTTCACAACGAAGCGAGGGTAGTCGCAAGTCTCATCAATTTATCTTACTTGGACGCGTATATGCTCTACTACCTGTCCTTTCGTCCTCGCTGCTCGATCTTATCATTCCATGTTGTGCTTAATCGCATTCGACTGGGTATGCCTTCCTCGATTGTTTGTCCCACTCTCCCATGCAGCCATTCTTCGCAATGCAATTGGGGGTGCTGGAGGGCACCTGGGCGAAGGATGCTTTCCTTTGCTCGGATTCAGTATCCCCCGTAGTCACGCGCTGAGCTCCGCAGAGGAGCGGGGAGTCTTTTGCTTCGAGAAGGACCAGTACTTTGCGCAGTGCAAGTCCAATTGCTCCATGGCTCCAGACAAGGATCCTGTGGGGAGCGCAAGGGGCGGTCAGGCAGGGCAGCCAGGGCAAGTCGTGCCGCTCTCTCTGGTGTTAGCTCGTTGAGACTGTGATGGAGTCAGGCCCTGTGTGGGCCCCGGAAACGGCAGGGCCTTTTTTTCACCGTTCCCCCAAAAAAATGTCCCTTGAAAATGGAAACAGCAAAAAAACGGCGACCGGAAACTGCAAAAAAACGGCTCCAGGAATGGAACCGGAGCCGGAAACGGGCAAGAAACGGCGACGGAACCGGTAACAAAACGGCGTCGGAACCGGCAAAAAAAACGGCAAAACGGAACGGGTACAAAAACGGCCTTGTCGTTTCCAGGGCCCACTAAGCTGTCTCCGTCGTGGGATCATGTCGTCCCGTCGTAAGATCTTCCCTGCGGTCAAGGGGCGCTGGTCGAGGAACGTGCCCAGGAGGCGTCAGATCCCGGGGGACTCCTTCTCTGACGAAGGCTGCGGCGATACAGTCGGGGCGCTGAAGAAGGAACCCTTTTCGATGGAGAGGGGCTTGGTGTTCCTTGATTGCTTCACAGTTTGCCTTGGGTTTTCCTTTGGTTTTCGATGGGAAATCGAAGTTCAACTTGTGGATGACAGGGGCCTCGTTCCTTATTTAAGGTTCCTTGGGTCAACGCCCCGACTGTGCCCATAACCAATCCACGACTGGAGCTCCACGGGCCTCCAGATTCTGGACTCCGCATTTCCTGCCCTCGCCGTGCCTCCGCGGTCAGCTCACTGGCCCAGCTTCCGCGTCGTATTCGCCCCCTCCCCCTCGTCCGCCGGCACCCCCGCACGCGCACGCCGCCCGCCTCGCCGCGACAGGCGGCGCGCCGCAGCACGGCAGGAGGGAGCCGCCCGGCCCGTGCAAGCCAGGCCCAGACCGTTGCGAAACCCCGGGTGCGCGACCGAAGTTGTCTCGGAGGCCTCCAAGAGGGCCTCCAGGAAGGCCAGAAAAGGCCCAACACACTGATTTCCCTGAGGCTTTTGAAGGATCTGGCATTTGCTTCTCTTCGGCCATCCAAAGGCCCGATACGGCCCAAGAGCCCTCAAAGATCGCCCAGAGATCGCCCAAGAGGCTTCCAAGATGCGTCTCAAGCGACAAGAGAAAGAGGGTACGCGTTTCCTGTCTGCATGTTGCCACTTCCTTACGTGTTCATGTGTCCAGTTGGGTGGCTACATACGTCGAGCATTCCGCACAGCTCTTGTGTTCTGGTCTACAAGTGTTTGAGGCAGTACCTCTTATGAGGGGTGATGTTTCGTTCCTCTGCGGCTCCGTTTTCCCAATGCGAGCCCCTCTTGGGCAGCGTCTGGCTTCAACAGGCCTCACTCGTTTGTCTGGCCAGAGGTCAGGCAGCCCCTGACCGTATCCATACACGCGTGTCGACCCCTAGGGGCTCTTCGGGCCTGATTGCCTATGGTGCAGCATCGAGTGATCATCGTCGACGATGGGGCCGGAGGCGGAGCGGAGAAAGGCAGCGTTCCGTGGGGGTTCCGCGCTGCGGATCTTTTTTTGCTACCGTTGCCATTGGGTTGCAGCCCTCGTTCATCCTGTGCTCCTTCCTCCCAT